TGACATCAAAAACAATAAAACTGCCTAACACTGGAGTTAAAATCGATTCCGTCATCTAGATAGTGGTGTTTTGCAATCATAGGACCGCCCTTGCAAACACGGCGTCACATGGCGTTAGCTTAATTTTCCTCTGAATTTGAAACGGAGATTTATGGAAAGTGCTGACTCTCTAATTATTAAGAAAACACAGATCGCTAATATTTGATGTGTGGGCCAATGTTATCCTTATGATAAATGTGAAGTAGTTGTGTGGGCTTTGAACAGAACGGAAAGAATATCGTTCAACGTCTCACAGAATTCGTGTAGCGAGAAGTTGAACATAACGCGGCCTGATGGAAAAGTCTTGTAGGAAGTTGCACCTGTCTTGTAGCGCCTCCTTAGACAGCCAGGTGTCATGTACGCGATAGTTCTCTGTTAGGGCTCGTCCCCCCTGTCATCTGTACAGCCACGCTCCGTTCCAGATTTCAACCTACTTGCGTCCTCAACCTGTATGCATCTAATGGTGGGCATGGTTTCTGTTAACATTCAGTTTTTTTACATTTGGCAGCGACCATTTTATAATACGATTTCTGTATAAAGTACCCACTTCAATCCTCTTCATGCAGAACCACTTAATACCACGATGTTGTAGTAGTGTTGTTGAATATTTAAAGACACATAATAGGATAGCTGTGTAGGAGGGTACTTAGCGTTTCGTTTACTCACTGGAGTAAGCAACATGGCTTCAGTGGTGTAAACATTCATCTCCACACCTCAACAAATCAGAACTGTATTTTACACGGGGAGCCCGCTTATCTCCATTTGGATGAGGCTTCCCCCTTACAGCAAACACTGAAAGTGATACAGGTCTCTGTACGTATACATCTCTGCGGGATACTTGAAAGTAATATTGATTTGGTTGTGTACATGTGTGCTTTAAAGTTAAATGACAAAGTATGATTGATAGATTATAATTTCCTATATGGCAACTCTGGGCGTGAGGCCCATATCAGGTAGTTTGGGGCTATTGTGGGTGGTGGCGACTGATTTATAAAAATGATGTTATAATAAGAACGTTTCATATTCTTATTTTTCACTAAAACATCAATCTAGCATAATTCAAAGTGATTTAATGTTGTATTGACACACCTTTTTGCATCTGGTCATTAAAAGCGCTTGTTCTTTTCTTTAAAACACCTATGCAATGTACAATGTGATAGATAGGTAATCGAAGCCGGTGTGCCAGGGATGGTGGTCCGAGTTCCAATGGAGCCAAGTGATCAGCTTTTAATTCTGCAGTGTGTTTACAAGTGAAACTACGAAATGTCCCATTCCGTTGTAAAGAAACACAGGCTCCGTATAACAGAAAACCCGCCCTTCAATACCAATAGAATTGTATTGTTTAGCGTTAACATGACGTTAGCGGTCAGAATCTAAGAAGGGGATTTCCTGCACAAATCACTGGGAACTAGACCCTGTATCACGGGGGACTCTCTCGTACACGATATGCAGTGTGACAGGAATGGTAGTCCGCTAGGAACCGTAGTCCGTTCCCCATTACTATGTACAGGGAAAATTTGTTCCACAACTGGCCCTAATACTCCGACTAACCCTAACCTGTACCTATTATATGGAGGAATGGACTTCCATTCCTAGGACTTCCATTCCTGTCAGACGGGCATATTTTTTGAGATACACATCACAGCGAAGTAACGCTCGAGTCAGAACTTTTCCTTGCTTTCGTACTTTCTTTGGATGATTACTGATTTATCAGTTCGTCTGATGTCTTCTTTTTTAACTTAACGATTCAGATGACTATTCTTGTATGTTTTGGACAGTCTATGTAGGCACTTCTAAGTTATTTATTAATATATAAACTATTTAAAAATAATTAACCGCGTAAAGTATGGTTTAAAAATCTTGTCCACAATTTTAAAATATTAAGTTTCCATCATTTAAGGGTTAGTTTTATCTGCTTATTGTTATGTCTCAATCATACATTTCTTATTTCATCTAATCGATTTTCACCTCAACCACAGGGAAAAAGTTGCACGACACAATATCCACACGCAATGTGATTATGATGCTTTACATTTACATTGTGATTTGCCGTATTTAGATCGTTTTCTTTTTCTCGATGGCATACGTAGACAACAGCGGTGAACATTGTGTGGGAACCCTGTGACTGATTCTCTTTTGTTGCTTGTCTTACCTTTATGAACCAGAGAACAAAACATCATCAAAATGAAGATATTGTTACAACCATTGGTTTTGTCAGCTTCAAGGTTTTCTTTTTTACGTTAACAATACATTTACATCCAAACAGTTAACATTAGTTCTTTGAAGCTTATAAACCGCAGCTAATATACCGCTCTTTATTGCATGTTACAGGAAATAAGGCATTCAATTTGTAATCCCACTCTTCCTGTTAAGAACAATGTTTATTTATATGAAGAGGACTACATTACTTTCACATTGGTGATAATTTACATTCAATTGTCGGGTAAAGTCCCTGCATTAGAAATACTTGTCATGGGGGCTACGTTCTTTGTTTGGCTTGTGTTATACAAGCAACGCTGATAGTTTTGATTTGAAAACAAGAGAGTCCCATAGATTATTTGGGTGTTTTTTTCCTGTGTGTCCCTTTATACGTTGCTATTGTCAGTTATGTATAAACAAGCTGTGCTCATATATCTTTCAAAAGTTTAAAGTCATGAATTTGCGTGTTAGAGAAGCAGAGCCGAGGTGACAAGGCAGTAATTTATCCGTTACATTAGTTGATTGGAAAACGACTTCAGAGATTACCTATAAGTTTTCTGTTGAAGTTGAAGTTGACAGGAGGGTCTGTGTCATGTGACAACCGCGGCGATGTGTCCTTGTGGAATGTGGGCCAAGTAGAAAAACTTCCAACCACTGGTGCTGACTTGAATATATTGGTTGATATGCCTGGAAGAGGGTAAAGGCATTTTTCTGTTCCAGGAAACTGGCTGTCTTATAACTTTCATCTTATTTGGGCGTTTCTGGGGTTAGCCTTGGGTGAATTTGAGGATGTTGCTTTATTCTTTGACATTAATAACGTAAAGCACTTGTTTAAAGTGCGATGCATGCCTTTGGGTAATTATTTAATGTTTCTAACCTTTATTCTGTTCACATCGTTCCTATATTTGCATTTTACATTTATCTGTTAAGGCTGATGTTGAATTTTTCAACACCCGTATTGAGAGAGATAATTGAAAATACTGATATTTACATCATGTCATGTTTTTATAAGGCAAGAATAGCACTGATGTGTCACTGAAAAGTAATGCACATCAAGGTAGCATTTTAGAAGTGAAGGTAAGATGAGAAAAATACATCAAATTTTATCTGGTTTTGTTAGCAATATATCAACTGTTTTTCTCAAAACATTGCCTCTGCTTTAAACTGTAGGGCGTTACGCAAATAAAAACATTTTCTTTAGCAATATATTATGCTGCCATGATTTTATTTCCAGCAGACCTCTTTTAACAATTGGAGAAATGTAATAACGTTCGTTGGTGGCTCGAGTCTGTTGGAAGTTTAGATCTGTAAATGCCTCAAACAGATACTCAGTCATTTTTTGTGATGTATGACACCAGTTTTGTAACAAAAAGGAATCCTTTACAGCCAGTGGTGCATTACTTTGATTCATCGTATCCTTTAAAGTGCACAACATCGGTTTAAATGGATTGCTTGACAGCTATCAAATTTCACCAGCTGCTAATCGTCAAAATGTATTATTCTTAGTAAGCCAGGACAACGGTGCGTACGCCATTTTAATGTGCTGAGCTACGATTGCATAAGCAAATATAAAGCCTCGTCAGTGTTTGATTGAGGAAGCGAAGCAGTGGTTTTAATGCATTTCTTCCATTTACCATCAGATCAAATATAATATGACACATTTCAAAGCAAACTAGATTAATGTGAAACCCCTATGACGTGTTGAGCAAAAGCGTAAAAAAGGCAAAAATAGTTAAATTTAATTTAAAGGAACATCCTCTCCTAGTATATTAAATGTAAATATAATACAGCGTCTGCCACAGCATAATGTAATGAAATACCACAACACGTTACCTGAGAAATCAACCAGTCCCCCAATGTGAACATGAACTTTAACGGAGGTTTGAAACACTTTATTATTTCCCCAGCGTCGTCTTGTGTCCTGACATCACTCTCTCATGAGATGCCTCAGGAAATGCCAATACTCACACGATAATTTAAATGGACATATACGCACATAATATCTATTGTCTTTTTACTCAAGTAGGTGTTCAAAATGATGGAAAAAACCCGTTGTAGACTAGGTATCTTTTATTGCCTGACGTCAGTCAAGACTGGTGTTGCATTGCGTGCAAAGAAACAAAGCGCAGGCATCGATACAAACACAGTGCATTCTGATTGACAGAAACAGCCTTAAGTTACTTGGATAGTCTAAATTCCGAGACGCCTCAGCGTTTTGGGGTCCTGTGAACTGTTCACTGCGATCGCCTTTCATCATTGTAGCGTTATTGAGAGGGCGGCAATGCTCACTGTGTCGATATTAGATATAGGATGATTGAAAAATGCATTTAACAACCATTGATTTAAGCTTCATTTAGGCCCCTGATCATCTTGTGAGCGGTGCCATAGATTTGCTTTAAAAACGAGGCATTTTACGAGAAACACTGAGTTACTGACGGATGACCGATATATCTGGTAGTTGCTCTCGTTTTTATTTATTTATTTATTTATTTATTTATTTATTTAAAATTTGCATTGAAAGACCAGGTAATACTGACATATATTTTACGTTTGTCTTTATTAAACTTTAAACTTGCCATCTAATCCCACGACATGAGGTGTTTCCTCTTGTCTTGTCGCTGTCTACTGTCGTGTTTCAACCATATATGACACTGACACATGCTTCTGTCAAATACAAACCTGATTACGGGCCGGATGTATGCTGTATGTCATATTTTGTTTCTTTTATTCCAGACGTGGCCCTCGCCTTGGAAGGTTCCTGAGGCTGATATCTGAATAAAGTTTCTGACTGTTCAAAGAAGAAACTAACTGTGAGTAACATTCGTTATTTTCATTTTATTGCTTAAAAATGTCAGAATCAGTACATTCATGAGCCTGGTCATAAAATAGTTTAAGATATTTCAATAACTATTTTCGAATACTAAACCACGTAGAAATAAAATTAATCTGGCTAAAATTGACACTTATCTTCTCAATTCAATTATTATAAAGGTCATGTATTTCCCTCCTGTTTTATCATTTGAAAACTAGTGTCTCTTGGTCCACACTCTTCCCAAGCACAGGAAGAGTAAAGACAGTCTCCTTATTTTCATTTACGTTGCTCTTATTTGACAATTTTTGGCACTTCATTTCTTTATTTCAATTTTACTGAATAAATACATTTATTTATATGTTATCTTTTATATTTTACGTTAATTAATGCGGGGAAAAAGTTCCAAACCCTTTTGTATATATTCGCATGGATATTTATAATGACTTCCGTGAAATCCCGTCACTTAACTGTCAATATCCTACAAAACATAACTCATAAATTAGAGCGCTATTAATCCAATTTGCAAACGGTGACTCAAATATCCGATTTTAATCGATTGTGATCACTCCAGCGTCACATGAGATCAGTTAATTAGGTATGTCAAACCCGCTGATGTTTTAATGGCTGTTCCATTCCTGGTAGTCACATAATTAAGCTCTGGGTATGCATCTGCTGTGGTTTTTATGAACATTGGTTCACTTTGAAGTTTCCCAGTGAAGTAGTACTGATTGTAGGCGATTAAATATTTCTGAAGTACATAGAAAGATAACAATGGACAAAAACAAAAGAAAAAATTAATTGATTAATAGAAAAAGTGAAAATAACATTTGGTATAATATGCATTCCCTAAAAGAATAAATAGAAACGATTAAAAGAAATAGTGAAAATTACATTTGTATTTCATAGAGAGACTCATGGTAATTATTTTAAAGGAAACTTTTTACAACTTGGAGTATAAGAAAATGGTTACATTTAGTAAGGAAGCCCCATTTCATTTTGTAATAAAATTTATTTTATCATTAAGTTTTGCAAACTTAACGATCTTCTTTTCTTCAGTGAACACCTTGATTAATGCTGCAATGTAAAAGGCAATGCGGGAAGCACAGTAAACCTTTAAAGCACTCCCCAAACTACCCCCCTACCAAAAGCGTGTCACCCCTATTGCAATTTGTAAAACGATACGGAAAATTAGGTGACAAACCAATTCTGCGGGCTGAAATTCTATCTCTTTCACCAAGGGACTGTATTTTTAAACTATAAGAGGTGTTGGAGCATTTCAATGGTTACGTTTGACAGGTTAACAAACTACTTGTTGCGTACCTCATTTAATGGTGATCGGTTGTCTAATCGTTACGTAAAAGTGCATTGAAAACTACGGGTACTCTTGTAGCACTGTACATAAATGTGGTAGGGGTGACACGTTCTGATAGGGGGTTAAGCTGCAATTATTATTATTTTTATTATTATTATTATTATTTTACAGTATGTTAACAGACGGGTCTGTCGAATGTTTCTGCGTATATGACATGCAGGACTTTCAGACGAACAAATACTATGACTCATGTCAATGTGTCTTGCATTGCTATTCATACACTCAGATTAATTTGGGAAAGGAGACGGAATGTGTCGAGACAGATGAAATCCTAGCAGACTAAAATCACGCACAAAGCCAGTTCGGGTATCTATAGCTACAAACTGAGCTAACATTCACAACATCCGATGAATAATCCAACATGTATCTGTTCAAACCTCCCATTATTCCATTGGTGCTCTGAATAACGCTTGGCGTATTCAATTCAATTCCACAAAAATCAAAAATCAATATTACCAATAAACTTTTGTTATGCGTCGTCACATATACTTAGGGTAGAGGGACCGGTTTAATGTAACAATTGCTACATAACATGCATATGTCTGTCATCCAATATTAATTATAAAGGTTTCCGTCTCAATAAAATACAATAAATGAAGCTTCTTTCAAGAGTCCTGGAAATCGTACGTTTTGTCAACACTATGTTTCAGCAAACATTATGGCGTTGCTTGAGTGTTGTGTTTGACAGAGCTCACGCTTTGAAAAAAAACAATTTATCTGACTGGCGTGACTACTGTTTTGCAACAAGATAAAACGTGAAAAGCTGCATTTATTTGTTTTAAATGGACATAGCGTATGATTTTAAACACACGCTAAGTACGTATACCACTTCTTGCTAAATTTATCTTAGGACAGTCAATATAATACATTTATCATTTCTTTCAAGTTTACCAGGATTGTTTGGAACAAATACGGATATCGATAAAAGATCGGATTGCTTATTAAGGATTCGAGCGCAAATTTCTAGGAAAAATAATGGGTATTTGGGCATTGCCTTTCCTCTAGTTTAAATTTGATGTGGATCTGAATCGCAGCAAATATGATGGTAAGCAAGACAACATAATGTGAAATCAAGGCATCTCACAGCTATTACATGGTCAATTTCATAAATGACGACCTGCAATTTCCGAAGGGAAGGGAAACAATATCATCCGGCATACATCAATTTAGGCGATCTGATTGCTGCTTTGTGTTTTGATGTAATAACTTTTTTCATAATGAAGGTCGGCACGATAAATTACCTTTACTCAAGCAAATTCAAAACCCATCACGTTTAGACAATACCATAAATGTTTTCAATCAGAACAAAAACGTTAAGTGGTCCGTATGGAATACAAAGCACCAGAAAACACTTTTGGACCCACGAAAATGCACCACATGTTGAGAAGGTGGTCACTAACAGAGCAATTTATGTGGAGATATATACAGTGATGAAATAGCTACTCGGTATAAGTTAGGCTGTCCTAATATGTAAGCAAATGTGGTACAAGTGAGTATTTACATGTAATTTGACTTTTATCATAATTTTTTTTTTCAATTTCGCAAATCATGGTTTTTGATTCAATGTTTTTTAGCTTTATTTGATAAAAAGACAAAACGGAAATCAAAACGATATGACATGATATGATTTAATTTTTAAAATGTAATTTATTATATGATTGGGTCATTTTTACAGAAAGAATTTTTTACGTGTCAGCTGCGATGACTAGTTTGTTTTTTGTATTTTTTTCCGTCAAATGTGAGGTCTATCAAAATGAGAACGAGATAAAGAGAGAGAGAGAGAGGTATAAAGCGTAAAATATTACCACTTATATGTATCGGGACTTGTGTTGTGCTTTGGAAGTGCGTTCGTAATGTCCTCAACTGTTGAGAAAAGTATTTAATAGCGGCATTTAATTGACAATAAACATTTCCAATAGATCAAACGCGTGGAATCCTTTTACATAGCCTTCCTAATGATAACACTGATTAACTCGGTAATAGTGGTGATTTTAGTCTCATGTTGCTAGCTGTCAATTCCTGGGAAAAGTTTATTACTACGGCAAGTCATTAACAGTTTTATCTTTCTCTATTTTATCATTATTATTTTGAGCAGTTTTGAGCATAATTTATGTGATTAACTTGGACATTACATTAAGCGGACGTTCCTCAAGTTCAAGTGTTTGTGCCTCCAATTGGATGTCTCATTTCTTTCATGAACAGTGTGTTTTCTCACCTTATTTATGACGTCCAAAAATGTAAACAAAAATCGCAGAGCTTGAAAAAGTTCAATATTATTAGAAAATGAAGGGAATGGGGTATTTACTGACCTTACATTTTCCTGCTTCAAAATATCTTGTGGTTATTATAACTTTTTTTGAAAAATAAAGCATGAGAGGAACAGATTATAAAGTCCTACGCTCTAAGTTTCTTTACGTTTCACTGACGCTGCGTTTTGTGTAATAGAATGATCCATAATGTAGATGTAATTAATCAATAGAAAAGCTTTTGTGCACAAAGTTTATGTTACTTAAAGCATCATTAATATATTTACTGTTATGTATAATCATTCTGTTATGTATGATTCGTGTGTTTTGCAGATATATTGACTTGTGCTTCTTGTAAAGACGTCAGAACTGGACGGCTAAGTGGCTGATCAGGATTGCAGACTTCCTGGAGCATCACAATGAATAGAGTGGATGATGTACGTGACTACATTTGCTAATGATCAAGGAAGTTGTACCATTTGATAGACAATTATTGTGACCGCTGATGCCGCTATTAAAGCGACTGCTCGGAAGGAAACGGAGCATTCAGTCGTTTCAGCTCGTTGGCATTTTGGAAACGCCGCTCTTTTTTGCTTTGGTATCTATATTTACTCATTAACAAGACTGGTCGCAATTAAGTGACAATTTCACATAAGTCAGTCTAGCAGTTTGGACAGTTTTACTACGCTTTTCTTGTTTGTTTTGGAAGCACATATAACATTTTCCTGTATTGGAGATAGCGCATCGAACCCTCTGGTAAAACAACATGTTGAACAACAATTGAAGAATTTTGAAACAAGAGTCACTTCTGTAAAAATGATATTGAAAGACTCATGGTCAGTCCGGGGTACATTGCGGGTTTGATAAGTTCTAAATATATCATAAACCTAGGAAAGAAAACAATGGCATTGGGCAGTTCAGAAAATGTCACATTTCTGAACGAAACAAGAGTATGGCTTGAACCTGTCACAGAAAGCGTACTGATGTTAAGCGGACAAGAGGACAATTCATCTTATCACCGTAAAGAAGAATATATTGAGTATTTTGTGGGAAAAGCCATTTTTGAATTTGTTCCTCCATTCTTGCTCGTACTTGGGACATTGGGAAATATGTTGTGTTTTTGGGTCCTCAGGAGTCGATACATGAGAGGTATAACAGTGGCATTCTTTCTGTCAGTATTGGCGTGGTCGGATACTGCAGTTTTATGGCTGGGACTCTCGCGACACATGGTCAGAACATACACCGGATATGACATCAGAATGGCGCATGCGTCCGTGTGCAAACTACAACGGTTTCTTCTCTACACAGCATTAGATTATTCCCCGTGGGTTCTAGTCGCCGTGACGATAGAACGTTTCATCTCAATTTGCTACCCGTACAAAGCGCACTCTCTGTGCTCAAAGAGGCGAGCGAAAATAGCAGTTGCAATCATTGCCGTGGCGGTGGTTTTGAAGAATGCCCACGTGTTTGGTACGGTGGATTTTGTAACTGAACCAGGGACAAACAAAACTGTGTGCGGGTATCCGTCTGGAGACATTAAATATTTCTGGACTCTGGTTTTGCCATGGGTCGTTTTGTGTATATACGCTATTGGACCATTCACGACCATGTTGGTATTAAACGGACTGCTGATATGTGAGCTTTGGAGATCAAAACGGTACCACCAGACCATGGCGCCGACTAAAAACAAAACCGACACCAGTCCGCAAGCGAAACACATTGACACGTCAGTCTCCATGACGATCATGCTTTTGGTTGTGACATTTATGTTCGTTCTTCTAGCCTCTCCCAGTTTCATTAACTTGATTATAGAGCCTTATTGGAAGCGCACGGACGGTCACGAGAAAGCTGTACATCACCTTGTTCAGTCGTTGGTCCTGATGTTAACATACACCAATCATTCCATTAACTTCATATTGTATGCCCTAAGCGGCAAACGATTCCGCGTCGTTCTTCGGCGCATGCTCTGTGCGCAGTGGAAGTCACGTGACAAAGACTACAGGCTAACCAGGTGGGGTTCAGATGATGACATGTACCCCGTCAGTGATTATGCTGCCACCAAGATCAGCAATCTGAACCTAGCGCCTAGAATTAACAATGGAAACGGAGCGAACACTATCAAGCCTAAACTTCCGGTTGCGAGCCATGTGTAAAACTTGGGAAAGGCATATGACTGAATTAACTTCAGATTTAGTTTATGTTTACTGTTGATACACCATGCCTCACAACAATGGTTCTTAACGTAACACTCCGTGATTCAATGCTACACGTACACTTCTATGTCATATTGGGCGTATCATGTTGATTAAACAGTATTAATTATTGATTTTGTTCAGAATGAGCTTATTCCGGTTAATGGAAACTATTTTTGTTTCTAAAATGTATTATGTGATGTTAAAATAAGCTGAGCAATACCAATGTGTCAGTTTAGTGCTGTCTTCAATACCGTTTTCCTTCAACATGAATAAAACGACGTAAATATATTATTCTTGTATAAGTCCGCTCCTTCAATAGTTTAAAAAACGCAGATTGATTTGAGTGGGCGTCGAACTCAACATGCCTGTTTTGGGATTAAAATAAGGCAAATGTTTGCTTTGTAGCTTAAACTGATAAAAAGACATTAAAAATTACGTTTGTCATTCCAGCATCAGTTATGGAATAACGGTTGATATTATTTGTTCATGACAAGTAAGGGAAGTTTCAATCTGATTTAGATAAAGTACGGTAAATGCGTCAAAGTATCTCAAATTTGTCATTGCGTTAGTTGAGAAGAACCGCAGTACCGACGGACGCAATCACAATGATGTCTCCATCAAAAAGTCTTTTTACATCCTTGTTTGTCATAAAAATAGCTGAAAAGCTACTTTAATTTGTCTTTCACGTCTTCCAATATAACTGTGCCTAGAGTGAGGCTCCGATTAGGCGTTTCTCTTACGTAATAAGCATTAAAAAATTCTGAATACCTTATTTCATGTTTTCTTATTTTCTAAAATAGGGCACGACCACGAAAATTGTCAATTTTTTTCTAATGGCGAAATCATAAGGTTTTAGTGGCCAAAAATTGAGATGTAAAAAGTAAGATTACCATGTTGATAAAATATCCGAGTTGGTCAATTACAAAAATTCAGGAGTATATGTGTATGATAATCCAATTAGAAAGTCACCGTCTTCAGTAATCATTTGGGTAGTAAGATGAAGAAGATAGCTATGACTTGCTGCGTCTTGTGTATAGTTGCACATTAAATGATCAAACATTCTTCTTTTTGTCGATTGAGGGATCGGGGACAAGTCGGTGGGGGGAGGGGGGCATGTTTCCAACCGCCTTAGGCCCACTTTTCCGTGCGGTATTGAAATAACAAGGGAATAAACGTACATTGACAGTACTTGTCTAATTTGAAACGTGGGTGCTGTTTATAACACTTTATGAACTTGGGGCGGGAGATTTATCTCCCTTCCTTTCCGAAACCCTGATTTCGACCCCGTCGGGGCAGCCTTCCTGTCCCATATCTAGAAATACTACTGCAGGATTGCTCATCATTGCTCGAATTTTCAGTTACCTTACGGTAAAATATATTACTCTGGGAATCAAAAACCAGGTGTTCCAAACGCTCGTCTCTTCTCTTACAATTTGCGGTTTTGTATCGTTTTTATATAGCCATTGACTGATAGAGCATATGAGAAGGAAGCCGGCTGGATAGCTTACTCAGTAATAGACCAGGTGAGCTAAGATACTTTAAGTGCCCTTTTTACTAGTTCCTTGATGTGCAACGCGATGGCTGGATTGAGGTGACGGTTCTTATTTACGTAAGGAGGGGGGTTGCTCAAGTAAGCTTAAATACAGTATATCGACTGTATGCGTTGAAGTATAATATGCACTGCTTGACTGTCCTGGACTTAGACAAAAACGTAGAAACTCAGTGCAATGGATATCAGGAAGGTTTCCAGATATTTGAACAGTTGGCGATTATTCTTTAGAGATAGCTGAAAGGACAATGGCATTCTTAACCCATATAAAAGTTGAAATCCCAAAATGACATTTTATCTTTTTCTTTTTGTGCTATAAGTTGAAGAAGGAGAGGTGCGTACTCAGTAGTCCCCTTGTTTCCCGCCTTATTAATGTATATGCATTTAGATTCGACATGGCTGTGAGCAATTGTACATATAACATCCTGGGGTATGATGTTCTACCAAAATATTACATTGGAATGGGGCAAAAATCGAAAATATTTTAGTGGTGGTGAGATTGGACCTACAGTTCCTTTCTTCAAATTTAGAGCTTCAATTGACCGATTATCAAAGAGAATTGCTCTATTAAGCTGGCAGGGTGGGTGTAATCATGCACGAGAGCTCGAGTCCCCTGTGGTACAGGGTCTGGGTCCCTTTGCTTTGTACATGTACGTCCCGTCCTGGATTTTGACCCACTAAAGTCACGCCAACCCTAACCTGTATAGATCTAGTAGAGGACGGACTCGCTTACACGGACATGCCACCAGTTTCTTCATGCTGGTATAGGTACTGGTGTCTGATTTTCCAGGCTGATGTTAAGACTTTCGCGGTAGAGGGTATTTCGAGGTAAACCAAAATAGCAGATTACCAGGTATGTGTGTTCCTCCACACGTGCAGTTTCTGTCTATATTGCGTTATATGACTGAGTCACGCTGTTAGTAATTATGACGGATTCTGTACAAAGTTAGCTTTGTGAATCACTTGCAAAGATACATACCGGTAAGAAGGCTGCTCGCAAGTATTGAGCAGACAGACATATCTGTCTGCGTTTCGCAAAAAGAACGCAGGATTCATAAAGGCTGTAAGTCAGATAATTAAATGTAACTTTTAAACTCTCAGTTTAATTTGATAGTGATATTAATGTAGGCTTAACGCATTTCATTTACAATTTCATTTCAGAATCGAAAGAGTCTTATATTTAAAAAATGGCTACCCAAGAATCGGACGCCCAGGAAATTCAACAGCGATTTACCTTTAAACAGCTGGCGAAATACAAGAGGATATTCAACATATTTGACATTAAGAAGGATGGTGTAGTTAGTGTGAAGGAAATGGCAGCAATGGCTAAAAAATTAGGTTATAATCTTGATAAAACTAAAATAGAGGTAGGTGAAGATGCCTTACAGTAAACAAGCAAATGTAGAGTGATCTAAAATACTGTTATTAAAATACTGTTTTTATTATTCGAACAATCATACATATGTCGGCACTGCCTTCTAATACATGTAGTTGTTGCTATCATTCATCAAGCTTTATTGAAGAAATACTACATGTACGGAGAGAGAGAGAGAGAGAGAGAGAGAGAGGGAGAGGAGTAAACACCCATGAATAATATAAAAATATAAACGTGCTCGATATTTCTATTTCAAAATGTAGGCCATAGTAAACAAATTGGATCGAGAAAAGAAAGGCACTCTCAACTTCCTGGACTTTCTTTGTGCAATGCCTGGGAATGTTGATGAAATTCCCAGCGAGGAGCATAAGTAAGTTATACGATTATTTACGTTGTGCGTATTGAATTATTTTGTTTAGTGACAGGTACCAACAAACTGAAAAGGGCAAGGCTTAACATACGGGGGGGATAGTAAAGTCCCATATGTATAAATATATGTATATTTATCTACTGCGTATATGGTGCCTATTAATATTTCCTGTTTAATGTAGTTTTTTTTTTCAATTAATCGACATTCTGATGAATGCCTTTTCTTCATCTTTGTGGGAGTAAACTATGATATTGCTTTGGGTTTTTGCTGATGTACATTATGTAATGCGAATACACACTTTTCAATGTCTTGTTGATCTACAAGTTAATTTCCCTCGTTTTGTAGACGAGCTGCTCTCAGAATACACTTGAGAGAATTTGATAAAGATGGCACGGGCTTTATTGCTGAAGATGGTAAGAACTACATGCAATTGAGGTTAGCATGTGATCCAAAATTTCTAAAACAAAAAAAAAACCAAAACAATCGTTTGCTGACCAACCGACATGTTATTTATGTTAGCTTTAAGCTGCTTTTTTGAGTTTCAAAGTATTTTATATCCGTTAGTGTGCAGCCTAACTCGCTGTTAGTCATATATCTTAATATATTCGCACAAACTTTAGTGAATTATAAGTGTACCTGACATTTTATTATTTTTTTTCATACCTATTATGCTGATGATAAGTACAATAAAATGTATTCAGTAGCCACACCTTTAGATAAATAATGCTTCATATTATACATGGGTATAATCGTCATATTATCCTGTGGCTTTTCAAAGTTATTTCTTACTTTCTGCTCTTATTGTCTTCTCATTTTCCAGAGGCGCGTGAGGTATTGGACAAAGAGCTAGCATTCCCAGCATACAAACTTGCCGCCTACATGAAGTTTTTCATCAAAAATAAAGACGGGAAGATCAACATCAACGAATTCTCAGAATTTTATCAACAAGTCGAAGAAAAGTAAGTTTGCAATTGCAAAAGCTCTGTCCTTGATTTTTCTGCGGCCGACTGCACACACAGCGTTTTTGTACAAGGGCAGTCTTTTCTCTTTTATAGCTTTAATATTAACTTATCCTGTCCATTAAGATATATTACCTATCCATCAAGAAAATGAGGTCCAAAAGTTGCTTTCCGTTGATCTGTAGTCATAACAATGTTGATAAAGACAATTCATATTTCTATGTTATGTGTTTGTTTATTCAGAAAAGGCGAACTTGAGAGAATCTTCAAAGAGTTTGATACCAACGGTGATGGGTTCGTCGATATTCAAGAAGCTCAAGTGGTAAGCTCTCTCTCTCTCTCTCTCTCTCTCTTTCTCACACACACACACACACGGTACAAACGGATTAACAACCTTTTCCCCGGATAACAAAGCATAGCCAACACAAAACTTTATAATCATAATGACAACAATTTATGTGTCTTTCTTGTCAGAAAACTGTTCCAGCTGATGCATTTGGACATTTAACAATACTTGTGCATTTAACATAACTCTTTTTTTTTTCAAAAGTAATTTTCTGACTGACTTTACATTCTTCCAGGCAATGAGGCCGTTTGATGTCCCGGATGAGGAGACGGAGAGGTTGGTGCTGGAGAGCGACAAAGATGGCGACCAGAAGCTCAACTGGACAGAGTTCGTGAACTTTTGGGGGACAGATTAATGAGGAATCTGATAATATTGTGGACTGAATCTTCAATTATATATCAGTGTTAGGACATATTGAAAGAAAAGAATCATTGTTATTTAATTTGTTTTTTAAGAAAAAAACGATGTTTTGATTTCACTTTGCTGTTACTTAATTATCGAATAAAGAAACTTTTTAGATCGTAAAACATTTCGATACGGTCTTTGTGTATTCTGTTTTGAGTATTGAGGATTTATCGCAATCACCATTTTAAACTTTGGATTTTAACAAGTTGAGTCTAATTACCAGAGAATAAATAAATGATGAACATATAAAAGCGCAAAGGTTCTTTGGCTTACATACCTTCGCCATGGCCTATACTGCTTGACGAAGTCGCATGCAATTCGCGCAGTCGATCTATTTAGGTCGCAGTAGACTCAATTTGCCTATATTTTTCAAAAGTCACTTATTCAAAACAAGTTAAATTTTGTCTAAAACTGATGTTATAACGCATCATTTGAGACAGCATACAACATAGAACATTATTGTTATTTTGAGTATTCTCTTTTACCTTATTATTATTCTTTTTTGATAATATTAACTGACAACAAGGAAATCATGAATGTGGCAGTGACAAAATACACGCATTCCTTTATACAATCAATTGCAATGCAAGTAAATAATAAACCTGAATAGTATGGATATCTGTTTATTGCGTATTTGAACAAAAATATCAATAGCTTTCCAGAACAAATCATAATATACATCTTTTCCCATGTAATGGCTTAATATCCCTATGTAAATGGTTCTGACGGTACTTATCACCTATGACGAAAATGTTTTTAAAATAATATGTACAGATAATGATCCACACAGGTTCGATCTCATCTACATTCCTATCAATATATAAATATTCCAAACTTTGCCTCATGCAGCAGAAGGAATGCTGGAAACCACCTTTTGAAGGTATGCTCACCACAAGGAACCTGTTCCAAAATCTCACACCTTTTGCTAAATGTTTTGCCATCCAGTTTACTACAGGAAACCGTGGAAAACCAAAAACGTGATAAACAGTATCCCTATCACAGTTAAGCCACCAAGGCAACCCAGAAGTTTGCAGCAGCAGTTACATGTTATTGGACATTTACATCTGGAACGGTTCTCGGATTCGAAATCACTGTCAGTGCTTATATAGGTCACCCCTGACACGGTACAAGAGTCTGGGCCTGTATCCACCGACGACTCCACCTCGTTGTTCGCCTCCTCTGGTTCCTTCCGGTTCGTTGACGGACTGTCGTTGGAGGAGACGGTGTTTTTTGGCGGAGCACCGGCGACAAAAGTCTCTTCGTTTCGACGTTTCGAGACATGTTTTTGCCTCCAATCGTTTTTATGGGCGTTCTTCTTTTTCCCCTTGTCTCCTTTGTCTCGCTTTAATTTGCCTCTCGCGTCACCCCTCATTTGGACAAACACCTCCTTGACCAGACAATGAGTTCAGTTTTTTATTGATAATTATTTTATCCCATATATATGTTGCAATTCCGAGTCCTAGGTCATTCGATATCCTGACTTTATCCGAACCCGTGGACATGACGAACAACAAACGCATTCCATATGCATTAATCGACGTTGAATCAGAATGCTCCCCGAGTTACCTTGTATCATAACTGGCGTTCAGTCAGTGTAAGATGCCATCGTGCTAGGCGTTAACATCAAACTAGTATAAGAGATGTTATCCTTTAGACACAAACGCGTTTACTCTTGTCATCGAACCGACACAAGGAGTTAAGTGTCATCTTCAAGGTTGTTCTCTTTGTGTTCTGAAAGAAAATATTGCATGTATCTACTTTATATACACCTTTCTTACTATGTAAATAAAAAATACCTAGTATATTTCTTGTTACCAATTTCTAGGGTGCGAGGCGGGTTTCATGGATTTGGACTAAAGTAAACGCATCCATACATTCATTGTTTGATTGACATGTACGTATTTAGACCCTCGTCAAACATTAGGTATTCAGACCATGTGCACTAGTTAGTGCATAGGCAATGTATTTGGGCATATAAGCTAAATATACCTCATTATGCCATCTGCAAGCTAATTGTGTTAAGTATATGTATTTTCTGGTAATATAAAGCAACATACAAAGATTACAGTATCCCTCGACTACTTACACTTAGTCTACCACAGTAATGAGCGTTCCAGAAATGATTCAACCTTGAGAAATGGTACATATATGAACCACAATATAATCCCATCACTCACACCGCCAGAAACTACATGAACATGCCAGTCCGTGCACTTGCAATTAATTTATCTGCAAAAATACACGTATTGCTATTCATGTTACGTATAGATGTACGTTTCCGGTACTTTTTGTAACATATAACAAATAAAGCAATATAGCAAAAAGCATGCAAGTGATCACATGCACATTTCTGGTGTTACAATGTTTTTTTCCAAAAGCGTTATGCTTTTTTAATAGCATTGAAGCTAAATGGTGTATTAGTAAAACAGGATGTAGGAAAAGAGAGAGAGAGAGACAGAGAGAAAGAGAGAGGAAGAGAGAGAGAGGGAGAGAAAGAGGGAGAGAGATTAAACGTCAAAAATGACAGTTAATGCAACATTAATGGAAATTACAATGAACTCATTAATAACAAGAATGCTTTACCTACCTACAATCACCCGTATGCCCAACAGTTTGTTGTACTTGTTTATTTAATCAGGCTAATAGATAGAACGCAGCACCCATGTACCTATATCCCAGGAGCAAGTGGCAGTGGAACCACTTGGTAATTACCGCCCGCTGACCTCTGGCATATACATGTATAAATACACTGCTCCCAGTGGGTGTGTGTAAGAACACTTCAGAACCGTTGTCTTCCACTGCGGCTTTATGATAGATCACCTAACAGGTACCCGTTCCACACCGCCGCCCGCTGGTAAATAAATTGTTTGACCAATTTACTGAAAACACAGCCTGAGTGTAGTTTATTTAAAAGGCCAAAGGGTTGATGGTTTTTTACGAAGTAAAGTAAACTGGTTTATATTTATTTTGATTGTGCTATACGAACTATGTATAAAGAATGTTAAATCAATAAAGTGTTTATTAGCAGGACGTATCTGTGTTATCCTCACCTTTCGGCCTGTAAAGTTGAACGGGAAATGTTAGGCATTTTTCCCACATACGTAACTTTATATATATGGATATTTCAACGCAAAGATTTTTAGCAAGTTGTACTTGGATTTCGTTTTACGAGTCAACGATGCAGGCTACAAAATATCACATGGTTTTATGCCTGAACAGGGTGAAACTAATAATCATACTGCCAAATATTATAAAATGATACAACATTAATTTTTATTTTACGCGTTTACAGATACACGTCTAAAAGGCACTGCGTGTGTGCATACGTCAGTGCTGCCCCCTATACTGCTGAACGCATCTGACACAATGTCCACGAATTCCAACTCATCACACCCAACTTCAGCCGGCGTTAAAACTATTTTCCATAAAGTGAGGTTATAACTTGGTTTTCTAGCATACAGAAGGGTAACTAGGGTGCGTTTGTGGTTAATAAGACTGATTGAGACTAAAACTAATTTTGTAGACCGTATAACTGATATAAACTTTCACCATGTAGGGCCTATATATCAGAACTGTTTGAAAACTTAACACTCCAATGTGATCTGAATGATATTTACCGTTATTCTTGACTCTTATGAGCCCTTCTTCATGATTCAAAATTAGTACAATTTTTGTTTTTCGACTACGATAGCACCACTCAAGTAGCTATGACATATTCATGGTAATAAATAACATATTTTACTTTATTATTATACAATAAATACTACCTTTATCTCCACTTTCGGCAATAATGTATCGGCTGCCAATCGATATTCCGTAGGTACGCGTAACTAGGACTCCTATCTGACAAGTTATGTTAATAAAGCCTGTTGCTGCATTACTGACGTGTTGCACTGTTGAACTGACATGTTTCATTTATCTTTTTGTCTCTTTGAGGGCAGTAAATGCCACCCGCTTATCGGCAACATTACAATGTTTCTAGATTTCCTCATGTCTTTATTGGCATTTCTCCTTCTCCAATTTTCTTCGACTTTTATATACAATTTTGGCCTCCCTGAGATCTGACTCTACGTATCCATATACGCAAGACTATCATTGTATTGCCATGTCTGAGTTTGGCTCTTGCACGTGCATTTGATCGCTGATGGAATCCTTTAATGGTGCTCCAACGTGGAATTTATTCAGGTGCCAAGTTCACGTTTTTTCGTACAAACACATTAACACCAAATATAATGGTAGCAATATCCAGATAGGTATTTCGCACGTTCGGACGCATGTTCCACACTTTGTGTGTCCTTTTTATAAATACCTACATATACACAGAGCTATGTTTGTTGAAAAGTATGATATACTGCGAACTATGTATAACCGCGCGTTAACTGTATGTTCGGTAGGTATTCAACAATTTCATATTATACAATCATTTCTACAACCAACTATACATTGCATTCACTTTCATCTACGAGTAGACTGAATTAAACTCCACACAAGATTAACTTGGTATGTATCACAAAATATCCCTCCAGTACAAAAACATCAGGAATAAAATCCCTACGACCGAAAGCCCTCCAATACAACCAAGTATTTTAAAACACGCGTTGCACGTCAACGGCGCTTTACATTTCTCCTGTCTTTGGTCGTCAGGGCTGTCTGAAGACGACGTGTCAGATAACCCCGATACTGTGCATGTGTCTGGCTCTAAATTGACTGACAGTTGTGACACGCTGCTTCCTTTGTCCTTTGACAGGGTGATTGTAGGTATATCTAACATGCTACGAGTGATAGATCCCCCACCGTTGAGCGCTGACTTGGATCCCAGCATTGTGGGACTTTTCAGTGTCTTAGTTAAAGATAGCGCACCAGGGACGTACAGACTTAGTGTGGACGCAGAGCGAAGGTGAAGTTTTTCCTCAAAGCGACGCCTCAGGATTTGACTCTGTACATGTTTCCAGTTGCCTTTTTCAGCAGCCCGTCTTTTTTCTCTCTCAATTCTCTCTAGTCTCTCCGTCTTTGCCCGCCTCGTCTTTGGCTTGTCGTTATCCCTCATTTGGCTCTAATAAGCCATTGTATTTAATTTTAATTTTAACTTATGAAGTGAAATGAGTACTCCTATATATATGTAGGCTTTGTAGGTTTCCTATGGTTGTCCTGTTGTAATCCTTCATTGGGCTGTAAGAAGTCTTTACGTCTGAACTGGAATGAAAGATCATGGAGTGAGAGAATACGTGTAACTACAAGGCGTGCAATGTACAGTCTTTTTAAAAACACTTTAATATGGGGCCATGCCATGATAGTAAATGTAATTTTCCTTGTGGAAAAACAACTTATTAAGTTTCGATGGTTTCCAAATGTGACCGATATCTTACACCAAAGTTATGATATGTAGCTACTCATATTCGTAGTTCATAAATGATGATACAAATAAGTGAAGTATAATGTATAATGGATATGGGCATGCATATGCATACGCGAAAAATGTATTCCCATTTATCTCAAATAAGTCAGTGTGTTAGACTGTCTGCGTTCATTTCTGTGCTCAATATTACATGACTGCGCATGTGTGTATCAAAGTAATGTAGTGCAAAAAAGAAAAAAGATAAACAGAAAGACACAATTTGAATAAAAATAAACGCAATAAGGAGGTACAAAATACTAACAAAGACAAAGATAAGACATATCTCACCACAGCACTAAAGGATGTCTTTCTTCCAACTCCAGAACCTAAATTTCCAGCTTGAAAGAAAAAAATGCACGTTGTTAAGCGGCAAGTGTTAGTATGCTCACTTACTAATTGCAACCTTTTGACCGTCAGGGAGTATTCCTGGGAAACGGTTGCTCGTAAATTACGGGTAGCGTCAGGATCGGAAACATGTGTTCTCTTTCCGATCAAAGGAAACAAGGTGATTAATCTTCAATTTCCTAAGTGTCTGTTTGCTTAAGAAAAGGTGACAGTTTCAGGGAGCGTGTCTCTGTTTTTTATTTATTTATTTTCAATATTCTCGGGTATTAAAAACGCATATATTTTCTCAAACTATCATAGCGTATTTACAATAAATAATCACACATTTCAATTAAAATGACAGTATTACAATCAGCGCAGGTCAGTGTGTGACATAACGCACTTAATGTTACATAACACGTGTAAGAAACAAATACCTCTGTAAACGAAGATATTTTTCGTACTTTTCTAATTATTAACAGGCAGTATCCCGACTTTGCGGAATTTTTGCCGAAGCTCCCAAGTTTCAGTTCATTCTTCCTGTGAATTCAATCATAAAGTCTTTACTAACCGTCGGAATAGAATAGAATATATCATGTATGCAATGGAATTAATCTAGAAAACAAAATTATCGAATTGATAAAACATCAAAACGAGTCCACGATTAAAAACTCCAGGTGGCTTATAAAAGACAACCAGGCTCTCTTAATATAAATAGTATAATGATTAATATAATCATTATAATATAAATAGTATAATGATTATATTAATGATTTAAATAAATATCTCAAATAACATGCTGAATCGTGTTTATATAGAAATAAGCTGTGTACTGGGATTCGCGGTACTTACTTTGAATAACTGGTGTTGCGCTTAGTGAGTGTGTTTTATCATGTGAGTGCGTGGACACGTGTGTGTTTTATCATGTGAGTGCGTGGACACGTGTGTGTTTTATCATGTGAGTGCGTGGACACGTGTGTGGTTCATACTTGTGTGTGTGCGTATGTGATTTTGTGTTATTTTCCATCAGTGTTCATCAAAGCGGTACATCATTCTTCTTTAGATGCACTAAATATACTAACTGCACTGTTCCAGGTGCGTAACACTATCAACGTGAAAGTACTGTAGCAGTATATTGCTTGACACCTGTTACGCAGTGGATGTATTGTTCTATAATTGTACTAGGAGAGAGTATAGCTCGTATTTCTAGCGCAGACTACCGTGAATGCCGTACATTCCTATTAATTGCTGAACAGCATAAGGCGGTTTTGTGCGGACATAGCAGCAAATTGAACTGCTGATTTTGGAACATGTAGGTCCAAGTTACTAAAAAAACGCCCATTTCTTTGCAAAGTATTGTATACAGCACTTTGGTCATGTATGGTTTGTGATTAACAGACTGGATAATAAGCAGTTTTCATTAATAGCGTCACCTTTTTATAAAAGAAACCAATACGTACCCGTTTTAGCAGCTACGGCGATATGAGCCATTTGATCGTCATCAACACACGTACTTTGTTCCAAATGATACTCATTTTTTCCTAAACTGATTCTCAAGAATGCTAATTGACAGGTCTTATCTCTTATGTGTACCATCCAATAGAACGGAATTCATTCACGGCTATTGCCCGGTTTCCAATGCGTTGTGTTTGCCACTTACGTATTTCTATATCTAGGACGAAATTCCCTACGCATAGAGTTTCACCACTATCTTTAAAAGAACCACTGCACGCGAGCTTATGCTTTTTTTTTTTTTTTTTTTTTTGCCTCGCGTGACGTCACTCACATTAGTTCCTATAGATAAGTGTGCATACTATCAATTCTCTGTTACAAAGGGTGTCAATTTTTGTTACATGTAGCCTGCAGTATATTTTGTGTACATATTATACATAATAGTTTCTCTCCTTAAACGTGGCAGGTACCATACAGAAATAAAATATTTGCATCGAATTTCATAAACGTTTATTTTTCCCCAGCAGCCTCATTTCATGTTTGTACATAACAGCATTCGAGAATATTTACAGATAAAACGCCACAAAACACGTCTTCACTCCATGGATGTGCCTATCTAACGCAATACAAGATGTCACGAGAGCGTCTCATCTAACACATCGTTACCAAGCGAACGCCTCTGCCCACACTAGTCAGGTAGTTTAGCATGTATTTAACCATTAATTTAAAAAAGATAACATACACTGTTTTATATGCTACCGTATCCATTATAAAACGATTAAGGGTTCTCAAACACGCACATAAAGGTTCTTTCAGACATGAGATGTGTGGCGGGTAGCTCAGTAAGCAATAAAGGTACACCTGGGCACATATAGGTAACGTTTAAGACAAATTACTCCAAATCTCGTGGGTGTCATTTTTATTACAAGTAAGTGTGGGCATTTCAAACAATTTCAATGGTGCGATATTTTAGTATCACCTTTGTTTATCGAAAATAGCAAATAATGCATTAAAATCGCATATCACAATTAACCGTTGTCCATTTAAAAGTCTGACAAGAAAATGCAAGAAACTCGGCGAAAATTAGATTTTGATATGCGGTAGGTATCCATTCATCATCTAGTATGGTGTATTATTCATTTGATTTCCGGATTAATAAAGCTCAGATTGCTTAAAAATTGCTTTGTAGGTAAAATACTAGTACCACTATTCGGACGCACATATCAGAGGTGGGTCGACGCTTTTCTGAATGCACGATCTATCTCTACGGGGGCCGTATTATTGAGTTTAGCACATTGTAGGCAGCTAATGCAATCCCTCCGCTCCCCCGCCTACCACCACCGAGTATGGTACACAGCTAACCTCGGTGATTCTCGGAGGACAGAGAGGTCACATATCCTGCCTACGGCGTACGTGCCTTCATCAAACCCGCCGTAGACCCGAGTCGTGTAGAGATGAGCCGTTCTGACCCTAATGTAAACGCGGCCTCAGATGCACCGTGCTCATTTCATCTTGATTTCATTCACACGATATTCAATGTGCATATTTGAATTTTATATTGCTATTGTGTACTCAAAAACATGTGTGACGTTTTGTAATTTATGTTTGACTCCAAGTGGCAAGTGAGAGCGCTGTAATCCCAGTAAACACAGAATAACCG